CCGTCAATCGTTCAGACGATGGTCATATCGACCTGCCAGCGCCCTACCAGGTTAGACGGAACCACTTGAAAAAAGGCCTTCACGAGATGAGAACATCTGAGTAACTGCAAAAAAGGGGTCACGGGCAGCGGGAAGAATGGTACGCCTACACAACCCAGACGAATTATGCTGTGAAGCACATAAAAGAGACCCTTTCGAAACGTTATTTTAGAAAACCTACTTTGTTGAGATTCGTGTGGCACCGACTCCTCCTTGTCAGTATAATCAAAGGAACTGACATCCTTTCTGTCCTTCTGTACGCCGTACTTTCCGCCAAAACCGTAGGAATAGTCCTTTTGAGAGGAGTGCTTGGCTAGTTCCTCGCGATCATCGTAACCGACAGCGCTCTGAAAGCGAGAGAGAGAAGGTTGGTGGTGATCTCATACAGGCCTTATAGTGTATCCTACGTAAAGCAAGGATACTCAATCTAAGGCTTGGGGATTTCAGTTCAAATAAGCTTTGTGTAAGGGAAGGACAGGCGGACACCTTTGAGCTCTCTATTGATACACAGCAGCTTAGAAGTGCGTTGGTACGGCAGGACAGTTAACAAAGAGGTAGTTTACATAATTGCAGTCGAAAAGCGAGCAGACGCCAGTTAGTTCGGAAGAGTAAACATACACTGCTACTCACTTTCTGTAAGTAGCAAATAATATGTGTAAGCATTAATTCGGCTTTTTGCTAAATGACACGAGCCAGTAGGTGTAAGGCAGTCAAAAAAGCATGCACTGAAAAAAAGCTTCGCTCCATAGATTCTAGAAGTGTGAAGGCCATTTGAGGAGTTCTAAGGAGAAAGAATAATTTATGCAGGGTGCGACAGAGAGAGAGAGACTAACTTTATCCTGCCGATCGGTTTGAACGCCATAACGACCGCCGAATCCCTTTGCGTAGTCTTTCTGGGAGGAATGTTTCTGTACTTCTGCCTGGTAGTCGTTACCCACGGCCGACTAGAAAAGAGAGAGAGAGGAACAAGGGGTCAGGGTTGTTTCATGTGGACATAGTAGACAACAGAAGCG